TACTAATTAAACCTAACAACAGACACACACACACACACACACACACACACACACACCCGCGCACACACACACCCAAGCCACCAAGATCAGCTGAAAATCCAGCTGTTTGAAAGCTGGGGTTGGATGCTCAGCTGGTGCAGATCCGCAGTCTTCCATCCATGGCAATGGAGTTACCCCCCTTCACACCAGTTGATGATGTAGCCTTGATTCTTAAGTCGCTGCCCACTCTTCCTCAGTGGCGGCAGCCTTGAAACAAGAAAACAATCTTGGCTCCCTGAGCAAATTCCTCCCGAAAGCCTCATGGTGCAGAGGTGGACCTGGTTGGGGTAGGTCGAGAGATTGTCAAGGTGTCCCTGAACCAGTGTCTCCCAGGAGAAGGTGACAGCACTGGCTTGTCAATGACCCGAGATGCATCCTGCAGAATTTATCTACGGTTTTCTTGGGGGTTGGCCTGGAAACACTAGAGCCAAACACCTTTTATAACTAGATCAGCAGCTTGGGGAGTTCCCAATTAGGGGCAGCTACTTAAGTGGTCCAAGCAAGCGTCTTAGAGTGGCTCTCTGGAGCAGATGAGAGCTCAGAGGACTTGCTATTCCATGGCGTTTTGCTAACTGCCTGGCCTGTAGCTGCAGACGTTCGAACCAAGCGTCAGGACAAAAAACAAACATCCAAAGCGTCGCCTCATCTGCGTGACTACAGAGACCTGCTCTAGGGCAGCACGCCAAGCGAAGCAGCGTCCAGAGATAAGGCCCCTGTTGGAAGCAGAAATCATGCAAGACAAGGCAATGGCTATATTTGGGCAGTGGGGATTTTTGTTAGCCCTTGAGCTCAGACCGAGCACCAGGGTGTATTTGTCACCTCCCCACCCCTGCTCCTGTGTCTCGCTGCCTTGGGCGGGCGGGGCAGGTGCGTGTTAAATCAGGTAGGTTACTTTAAAACAGAGACACGTTTAAAGGTTCTACCTCCAGTTCCCTTCCAAGCAGAAATTCACTGGACTAAGTTTCCCCCACTGGACATTCCCCATTAAGGCACGACGGTCAAGGCCTGACCTGCAGGTTGCTCTGAAACCTCTGAGCTGGTGAAGTTTAAAAAAGTAACAGAGGGAGACTGAGGTGTTAGCAGCTCAACCCACAACAGAAGCGGGTGGAGGGGGGAAGGTCACACACTTAGTGGATCTCCCGCACCCCGGATATTCCCAATCTATAAAGTGGCACTTTATGATCAGATGCAAATTCAGCTGCAAAATGAGGCTCAATGGGAGCGGACAGGCAGGTTCCTGTTTAAGGATACACAGGTCTCAAGCAGGGCTAGCCCCGTATTGTTCTTTCCCCTCCGAACAGCCTGGATGCATTACAGCCCAGCCCAGCCCACACTCCACTGACCATGACCGCAACTCGGTGGGTGAAGTAGGAGCAGTGTTTGGGGACACGGAGCTCAGGTGAGAGAATGTGGCTGCTCGTCCCATCAAGGCCGGTACAGCCCTTGCTTTTCCATGAACATCTGCAGCACATGTGCTTCCAAACGCAGGGGGTTGCCTTTCCCTGGCTGGTTTATTGCCAAAAACCAGAAGCGAGAAATTGCTGGAGAGGCGCAAGATAGGAGGGGCCCCCAGCGGGCAGACCCCAGGTGTTTCTTGTTAACTCTGTATTGGAGGCTGGATGTCCCTTTATGCAGGACAGCACAGAGTGGACAGCAGGACAGCCCGGCAGCCCGGCCCTGGATGGACCCCCGGGCTCTTGCCTCATTTTGCGATTGATCGCTCGGCTCAGACGGAGGTGGGGGCAAGCTCTCACACTCATCAGTCTCAACAACAAAGTGATATCGTGTCCGATAAAAGTCTCAGCTATTCCAGAACCTGTGTTACTTCTTCCTCCGTGGGCCAGCTGCGAAGGGGATTAGGGTAATGTCACTGACAGCTGGGGACTGGACCGAGACCCCCCCAGTTCCTCTCATACAGGCCATGAACCCTTGGGTTCAATCTGGGCGATCGCAAACTTTTCCTGTCCTATGCCCCAATCCTTGGCCTCCTCCTCCAGAGCAGGGCCAACGGAAAGGGCCAAAAAAGCGGTAGCAGAATCCCTTGCCCAAGCGCACTAGCCCTGTAGAGTTTCACAAGGTGGAGGCTCCCACTCCCCATCCTCTGTCGTTACGAAGGCAGATCCGTCTGTCAGCGCAGCAACGTGCTCACAAGGAATGGAGAAAAGGGCAGAGCAGCACGTAGGCCACACGGATTGATGGGCTGGCCGGGAATTTCTCTTTAACACGGCGTGAAGAAACGACTGCTGCAAAAGTCCTGGAAAAAGCAGCCTCTGGATTTTAGACCCAGGACTCCGTGAGGGCATCTATAGACATTAAAGAGACTCTCTGAGCAGACACACACCCGGGCCGTCTCCTAGACTCTGGCTGGTGACTAACCTACCACGCTTCCCCTTCTGGCGGGGAAAAGCCAACTCCCGCTGTGGCCGAAGAGACAGGTTCACCTCTTGTTTATCATCCTGCCTTATTGCACATCTGTTTCCACCCCCCGATATACACACAAACATTTGGTTAAGATATGAAATATCTAAGCAATGCCCTGAGAATCACAGAGAAAAACAGATTAAATAGAATTTTCTGGGGAGCTTAACACCCAATTCTGCCCCACCCTCCCTCCCAATTTAAGCAGAAAACCTTCTTGCTTAAACATTGTTCTGCCGGCTCCTCTCCAGTTAGCTGCTTTTTGGAACGGACGCACGTGTCAGCCGACTCCAATCCAAGGATCGTTGGCCTCTAAGATGTTGTTTTTCCTCCTAGAGGGACTGGAACGTCAGTAGGTAGGGGACGCTCCCCCGTGGAATGACGCCCTGCGCCGGCCTCTCAAAGAACCCGAAGCAGTTCTGACCGTGGGAAAAAGGGTGCACCCCAGGAGCCAGTTAACGACCCACGCAGGCAGCTGCTAACACGAGCTGGTCTGCAGGTTCCCCTCCGTCAGCAGTGAGGCGATGGAGGACGGGCCGTAAGCGCTATCGAACTCCTCATCTGAGCTCAAGCGGTCATCTTCCAAGGAGGCCTCTGTGGCCGAGCGGGTGGCCTTGCGCCTGGGTCAGGGAAAGGATGAGCCAGTTCATACTAGCACAGCAGAGCGTCTGCGCTTACCCGGCCCTGCACTCTGGCCCCTGCCGGCTGATTCCCACCAGGGCCTAGAGCAGCGGGGAGATCCCTGCTCTAAACCAGGAGCTCCCATTTGCCCACAGCCCTGCTCAGACCCCCTGCACCCCAAACACTGCGTTAGAGGGCAGCAATGAGAAGAAAAGATGAATGAAATTCAGTAACCGTTACAAGCCTGCTGGGCTGAGACTTCTAAGGAGCCTGGGGCAGGTCAGCACCCAGCCTTCGCTGGACTCTCAGAGGCCCTGGGGCAGGATCGTTTCATTATCCACGCCCAGCGCGCTACGGACTTCCCTTGGCTGCAGGCTCAGTATGAACGACCCTCGCTAGGGCACTGGAGCATGGCTTAGATTATGGGCACACTGCCACTCTGCTTCAGGGAGGTGGCAGAGACCAGATTCCTCTCCAAGAGCAGATCTTCCTCGGCGCGCCCAGCGCAGAACTATGCTTAGCTACAGGGCTGGAGGGAGGGCAGGGGACAGGCAGCCTGCAATTATTCCTCAAGGGGGAGTTTTCTACTATCACATTTCTGCTGGGAGAGGAGCTAGGGCTTCAGCCGGCTGCATAGGGAGACTGGTACGGAGCAGGGCTAAGGTGGGACGTGTACTGCTCTAGGAGCCCCTTACCTCTGGCTCGGGAGGGACCCCTAGCATGCAGGGCTAAGGAGAGGATTTTGCAGCACCCACCCCACCCACTGCCTACCAGGCCTCCTTCTCCAGGGCCTTGATGCGACTCTGCAGCTGCTCGTTGAGTTCGTGCTGCTCCTCCAGCTCCCGCTGCGCTTTCTTCCTGGCGCTTTCCAGGCGCTCGATCTCCTCCTCGGCCTCGTCCATCTGGCGCTTGAGCGCCTTGACGCGTAGGCTCAGCTGCGAGGGGCACAAGGGGAGGGGCACGTTGGCTTGTGGTGCTGGAAGGATGCCACCTAGACCCGGACACCCAGGCAGTGCTGGAGGGACCTCACCCCCACCTCTACCCCTCTCCTCCTCCCCCAGGACACTCGGGGCCTCTGCTAGCAGCAAGGGCCATTTGCAGCCACAGCAGTGTCCTGGTGCTGAAGGAGGCCGGAGTGAGCTGGGAACCAGCCATGCTCAGCTCTCTCTGGAGGCTGGGAGCAGGATAAGAGCCTAGAAACACTAGGCCTCGCAGGGGCACATCCCACGGTTCTTAGCCCTGCAGTGAGCGGAGCCGCTCTAGGATTCTTTCCCAGTGAATTGTGGGAGAACTTGTCTGGCCTTCTGAGCACACAGAGGGTGGGAATTGTGGGAAGGCACTGGAGGACTGTCAGCACGATCAGGCGTACAGCCTGCATCCTCATTTCAAAGTGGAACCCGAGCCCTCACCCGCAGCCAGGCCAGCATGATCACCCTGACATCTGCTGGGAGAGCTATAGAGCAGTGCACAGACCATCCAGGAAGTTTTTGGAGAGTGTTGGGGACAACTTCCTGGTGCAAATGCTGGAGGAACCAACTAGGGGTCGTGCTCTTCTTGACCTACTGCTCACAAATAGGGAAGAATTGGTAGGGGAAGTAGAAGTGGGCGGCAATCTGGGCAGCAGAGACCATGAGATGGTCGAGTTCAGGATCCTGACAAAAGGAAGAAAGGAGAGCAGCAGAATATGGACCCTGGGTTTCAGAAAAGCAGACTGACTCCCTCAGGGAACTGATGGGCAGGATCCCCTGGGAGGCTAATCTGAGGGGGAAAGGCATCCAGGAGAGCTGGCTGTATTTTAAAGAAGCCTTATTGAGGGCGCAGGAACAAACCATCCCGATGTGCAGAAAGAATAGCAAATATGGCAGGCGACCAGCTTGGCTTAACAG